AAAACAGGAAAAAAACATTCTAGTGTGGGAGCCACAGACAAATAAGTGAAACATACAGAACATCATGACAATAAGTGCTACAGAGAAGGATAAAGGAGGAAGTAGGGAGGAGATTGGAATTTTAAACTAGGTAGGCAGGGAAGGTCTCTGTGCAGAGGTGTCATTGGAAGAAGACATGAAGGAGCAAACTAGATATAATAAGGAACTGTGCTATTTGAGAAGGGCAATGCAAATGCAAAGGCCCAGGGGCAGGACCTAAACTGATATGTTTGAGGCACATGGGGGAGAAGGTACTTGTGGAGCGCATGGCATACAGATGGACACAGAAAAGACAGTGAAGTTATGTTAGGGTTTGTTTTAATATGTGATTGATTTGTTATTATTATTATGAAGGTCAGGGCATTAAGGAAGGTGAATGAGCTAGAAGAACTGTGACAGGAAAGAGGGGGACTGGGGTGAAGAGCTGACTAAGGAGACCTGAAAATTTTTACCTCAGAAGCTTTCCTGAGGGTACTGAGAATTCACAAGACACTATACTGAGAACTAAATAAGGGTAGGTGAATACTATCTGGGAGATAATGGCAGTCAATACAGTATTTAGCACTAATGAACAGTCATAATGCAATTATGGGGGTCAGAAGACAATGTGCTGGAGACTCATGAGGGTCAAAGACACTCTACTAGTGGCTAATGGTGGGGGTGGGAGTTACAAGTCAGGATGTTAGAGGATAATGGGGAATCAACATACACGCTGAGGTTTGTGTTTGTATATATAAAGTATTTTTTTATTGTTTCTCTTTCTTGATAGAAATACTTGATTGGGGATTTGGCAGCACAACCATCTTAGGTTCAACAGAAGAATGAAAAACACTCAAAAGTCTGTTAGACAATGTGTTTTGCAACAAACATCTCACAGAACTTAGGGTTTGTCACTATGGTAGATATTATGTTGTTCTACCATTTTACTTGTTGGCACTTTACCTGTTCCACAGTAAAAAAAGATTATTGTTAACATGATTTAACATAATCTTTCCTAAGCAGAATTTGGTAACAGCGTTTCATATTTTTGAGAAGGCCTCTTCAATGTGAAAAAGTTGAAAAAGTTCCTTCTCAGTATGAATGCCTCAAGGTTTAATGAGGCTGGTGATTTCCCCCCTCAGTCAGGGCCCTCTCATAGGTCCTCTTCTGTACAGTAATGTGACATTCTGATGGGTCATTTCTACTTACAATAATGTGCATATTTTTCTGCTGCATGAATTCAATAATATACAATCAGACCTGATCTCACTGAGATTTTCTCACACAGTTCTCTCAGCTGTGAATACTCTGATGCACGTTAAGCACTGATTTCTGGACAAAGCCTTTCCCACAGACTACACACTTATAGGGTTTGTCTCCAGTGTGTGTTGTCTGGTGTTTATTCAAATTCGACCTGTCAGTAAAAGCTTTTCCACACTCAGAACACACATAAGGTTTCTCTCCTGTGTGAATTCGCTGATGCACTTGGAGCTGTGATTTCTTAGTAAAAGATTTGCCACAGTCACTGCATTCATAAGGTTTCTCTCCAGTATGAATTCTATGATGTATAATCAATTCTGATTTCTGTCTGAAGGTCTTCCCACATTCAGAACAGATGTAGGGCTTTTCTCCAGTATGAGTTTTCTGGTGTTTACTGAGATTTGACCTGCCACTAAAGGCTTTCCCACACACAGCACACACATACGGTTTTTCTCCTGTGTGAATTGGTTGATGCACCAGGAGCTGGGATTTGGAGGTGAAGGATTTTCCACAATCACAGCATTCATAAGGTTTCTCTCCAGTATGAATTCTCTGATGAGTAATGAAATTTGACTTCCGGATGAAGGCTCTTCCACACTCAGTACATACATAGGGTTTTTCTCCTGTATGAATTTTCTGATGCACAATGAGTATTGATTTCTGGTTGAAGGCTTTCCCACATTCGTGGCATTCATACTGTCTCTCTCCAGTGTGAATTTTCTGGTGTATATTGAGATGTGACTTCTGGGTGAAGGCTTTTCCACAGGTATTGCATTCATAAGGTTTCTCTCCCGTATGAATTCTCTGATGGGTAATCAAGTCTGACCTTTGTGTAAAGGCCTTTCCACACTTAGGACATACATAGGATTTCTCTCCTGTATGAGTTTTCTGATGTGTAATGAGATTTGATCTGTTGGTGAATGCCTTCCCACATTTAGTGCACATATAGGGTTTTTCTCCTGTGTGAATTCGTTTATGCACATGGAGTTGTGACTTGGAAGTGAATGATTTCCCACAGTGACATTTATGAGGTTTCTCTCCCGTATGAATTATCTGATGTGCAATCAAGTGTGCCTTCTGAATGAAGGCTAGCCCACATTTCAGGCATACATATGATTTTTTTCCTGTATGAATTCTCTGATGCACAGTGAGTGCTGACTTCTGAGTGAAGGCTTTCCCACAATCACTGCATTCATAAGGTTTTTCTCCAGTGTGAATTCTCTGATGTATAATCAACTCTGACCTGTATGTAAAGGCCTTACCACATTCAGTACATATGGAAGATTTCTCTCTAACTTGAACTTGCTTATGTATAATGAGGTTGGAACTATTATTAAAGACCTTCCCATATTCAGGACACATAAAGGGTTTCATTCTTGTGTGAATTCGTTGATGCACCTGGAGTTGTGACTTGGAAATGAAGGACTTTGCACAGATATTGCATTCATATGGTTTTTCTCCAGTATGAATTCTTCGGTGTGCAATCAAGTGTGTCTTCTGGATAAAGGCCTGTCCACATTCAATACATATATAGGATCTCTCACCTGTATGAATTTTCTGATGCATCTTTAGTGTGGACTTCTGTGTGAATGCTTTGCCACAATCACTGCATTCATGGTGTCTCTCTCCGGTATGAATTTTCTGATGTATACTGAGATCTGAGTTGTAAGAGAAGCCTTTCCCACATTCACGGCATTCATAGAGCTTTTCTCCTGTATGAATTCTCTGATGCCTGAAGAGAGAAGATACTTGGAAAAAGGCTTTTCCACATTCATTGCACTTATAGGGCTTCTCTCGGGTATGGGTTATCTGATGTATAATAAATTCTGGCTTCTGTACAAAAGCCTTCCCACAGTCAATACATACATAGAGTTTTTCTCCTGTATGAGCTTTCAAATGTACCTTGACTTGTGACTTCTGGGTGAAGATCTTTCCAAGTTCAGTACATTTGTGAGATTCCTCTACTGTATGAATTTTCTGATGTTGAGAGGGTGCTAGTTTATAGCTGAGGATTTTTCCACATTGATTATGGTCCCATAATTTCTCTCCTATTGGAGTACCATCCTGGTCAGTATAAGAAATTTTACCATATTCGGCAATCTTATTAATGTTCTTTGATTCATTGTTTCTATTATGACTGTATAAGTCTAAATTACGTTTCAAAGCATTTCCAAATGAGTCACATTGATGGGGTCTTTTTGGGGAAGGAATGTTTTGGCTCACATGAATTATTTTTCTAATATCCTGATATTCATAATCCCTCTTTGTATTCAATATTTCCTTGATGAAAGCACCATCCCTTAAATATTTGTTTCCTCTTTGCTGATGGCTTTCTAGCTGGTCACCAATCTGCCACAATTTTTCTAGAATGAAATACAATATAACATCACTTGTGGCATCACCTCCCCTCCCTGTCAATGTAGAAAGAAGCTTTTTCAGAAATTCCCTTCCAGGAGGTTTGAAACCCAAACTCTCCTTCTCAAAGGAGAATGAAAAGACAATTGCAGTTCAAAGAGCAGCTAGCAGAGGCTAGAAGGGAGGGTCATATGGCTCATCCAGGCTGAACACAGAAAAGGGTGAGGGTGAATTACTAGGTGAGGAGGCTGGTGA